GGAGTCGAACCTGGAGAAGGGAAAATACTCTGCAAAGAGACCAGCCTGAGAATAAGAGACAGAATGGTGCATCCAAGTTTGAGAAGTCCCGAAAGAACCTACCCCAGTTTCTCTTGCCGACGGCGACGATTATCGAGGCCTTGACATATAAACTTGAATCTCAAAGGCCTTCCCGACGACTCAGCCTTACGCTAAAAAGGTAAACCGATTATTACATTCCAAGAAGAGCGCTGTCTGGGACTTGAACCCAGTCATATTCGTATCAATGGATGGACCACCAGGGCTTGGTAAGACTTTACCACAGTTCGATTTTGTGCAATAACAAGGAAAATGGGGAAAGCTCGGTACGGATATATGTACTATTATAAATACATCCCTAGGGCACTTGTTCATGCGAAACCATCATACTATCATATACCCGAAGCAAAAGTAATTTTCATCCACCACTGGACCCTGGTCCTCAACTGTTCAGGGGAGTCGAACCCTAAGAACGGCCACTCAACCGTTACCGTTATGGAATACGACCACATCGGCTTTAGAACAAACTTTCCAATTAACACGTCCCCGGTCCATATAAGTTATGCCCTTCGCACGCCTGTGTGTGTCAGAACCAGAAAACATTACCTTCTCAGCGATTGGCAGAGTTCACTTGAAGTCCCCAAAAGAATATGTGGGCGCGTTCCACTGAGCACTGAAAGAATGTATACATCCGGGTCAACTAATAATTTTAATGTACCGGCAAGGGAGTAATACCGAATGAAGGGAAAGCGAAACAAGAAGCCGAGCTGATCAGATAAATGGTCAGAGCCTAGCATCGTTCGCCTAGTGAACAAGGCTATACCAGCAGCTTCAAGGTCTCGCAGGTAGATTAAGTGGTATGTTACTGATAGTCAATCACAACGATCTAGAGTTGTTTAAATTCGTTCGCACGATCGGGAATCAGAAATCGTCGAGGAATCAGAATAGAGCGGGTTGCAAAGATTCCAGCTGAGTATGAATGTCCCGCTGGGAAAAAAACGGTAGATGTGAAAGAGCCGTCAATAAAGTACAATGCTATCCCGAATGGATGACTTGAAAAAGTTCGCGTGACCATAGTGGAGTCAAGGTTTCGTTCATGAGAATCAATGTGACTGAGAAGAAGGTGAGATACATCTAACAGACCGAACAAGAAAACCGGGAATATTAGAAGGCTAGATTCAAGGCTAGATGAACGCGGAGCAGACACAATAATTGAACTTCTTCCGAGGTTCAGGGAAAGCGACGCTGCTCTTCTGAATCCCTTATTCTTTCAGGAGTGATTTAGCTCTCGTCTATTGGGAAAAGCAGAGATAGCTATCCGGGAAAGAAAACGAGATGTCTAGGCGGTTGGAACGAAGGTTTAAAGAAGAAGGATCTACAGGTCTCGCCAGTACTCTGAGAGGGAGTCGACAAGATGGTGCTATTGGTAATCACGACGTAGGGAAGGGGGTCTTCTCTCGGGAAAGGGAAGCTTGCAAGTCCTGACATTAGGATAGGAAGGGCGGTAAATAGAGCCCCCGAACTTGTCAGGTATGATAAAGTTTGAGAAAGCATGACACTGATTCCTTCGTGAGAATCGTGTGATGGAGAGGCAGATTGGACTAGAAGACTGGAATGGAGACAGGTTCCCAGGAGAAATGAACTCGGAACAAAGACGACATCACGGGATAGGGCGGCTGGAGCACTGTTTAAAAATTTGTTGGGTTTATCATTTTCAGAGATATCTGGATAATTGTTCAGGAGTGGGATTATCCGACGGAGTGTATGCACTGTTCAGGCAAAAGAATGGAACGAGGAGATATTTCCATTCAGCGTAGGAGTAGGGTACATGATGTTGAATCCCATCCCCTTAGTTCGTCACCGAGAGACACCGTCAAGCAGTCAGACGAGCATGATTCGACAGAGACTTTAAGCGCCTGCGACAAGTCAACCAGTATCATAATTCACGGACAAGGGCTACCTGCTTTGGAACCTTTCGATGAGAAAAAGTACGCGCAACAGCAAAGTACCGGGGAAGTGGCTGCAGGATGGCAAACATCCGGAGAAGGTCGGTGCGAGGGAAGACAGAAGACCGGAATCAACGGCCCGCATGCCGGATGACAAAGCTAACATTTTCGCGCTCTCCACAACCACGCTCACACTTGTTTTCCAAGCCAGGGTCTACTCACATGTCGTCAAGGAGCAGCCGGCACCAGCACTTGTCGATCCTTGAATGCCTTATATAGGATCCTGGAGAGCCGTTTATCGAGGAAATGAGTTACCATGAGTATGGATTATGGTCCGCACCTTGCTCTCTGGTCTCTTTCTTTTTCTGAAAACCCACAGGTTGTCATAATTCTGCGACCCAGGACGCTTTAGCCCAGCTGGAATGCGTTATCAGCGACCCATATCGACTCCGTTTTGACGAAATTCCCTCTCGTATCGCTCGCACCAACGGCTGACACGCTCATGGAAGACCTTATCAAAAAATATCCTGCCGACATGCACCGATATTGGACTCTTCAAACTTACGTTGCCAGTGCTTTGGACAGCCTATGCCATGAAGATAGACATCACCGCTGGATCCTTGTCCCCCTGTCCACGGCACGATTCTGACTGCTGCGTGCCTGTTCTTCTATCCTTGCGTTACCTCGACTGTAAGCCTATGCGTTTTGTGCGTATATAGAATGTCGAACTGACTCATCCATCAAGATAAGGCGACAAGTAACACCAGTCGTCCGAGCGTGTCTGTGTCTACGAAGCATTATCAAGGAGCCCTCAGCCAGCGCTCCCATGTCGAATAGTCCATCACCCCAGCCTCAGCGAGCTCAGCGAGAAGAGTCGTCTGGCGATCTCGATTAATTTTCGAATGTCGACTATCGTCCTGTCGAGCTGCATTCACCCGTCGCCAGCCTTTGCGCACCCTATTGTCCGTAGCTCTACACCCTGTTTCTGACATCAGGCAGGTGCATCAACTGGACCGGGCCAAGGCAGATCGAAGATCCCCAGTAGGATGAAGATGGTATATCAAGGACCACAGGCGAGTCTATTTCTGCTGTGAATCCGTGTAGATCTAACGCCAGTGCAATAGTGACAGACTATCCCCAACCCTGCATTCGTGTAGACCTGTCCCATTCAAGACGATCGGTTACAGGTCTAGCATTCGTGTATGGCTGCCTTCTTTCTGATCTCTTTCTTAAGTTGACATCCTCCAGGTCCTGACATGATATTCCTCCGTCCTCCCTTGGTTCAGCTCACTCAAGCCTCAGTAATCCTGGCAATGCGTTATCAAGGTCCGACTCCCAGATCACTGAATAAACGAATGCACAGGTCGACACACTGACCGAAAGCCCCAATAAAGAATACCCCATCAATTTGCATCGAGCCTTCAAAGCCACATTATCGCCATCGCGCTGGAGCTTCTCTCAATCCTTCGATCCGCCCCTCTCTTCAACCTTTGGGCCTCTGATCTACGAGACGGTCTTGCTCATGATGACTGACGCGCGACTAGAGACAGCTGCATGCAGCCGTTAGCAGTGATCTGGCAATCGAAGAGATGACGTTTGTCGGAGGAACTACATGCCATCATCGGAGGTAAGTCTACGTAAATCGCATGCATTGTAGTTGTGGAGCTGATTCGCCATAGGATTCTTCCATGTCCTGAACAATGTTTCCATTCGAATGACACTTTTAGTTGGAGAAGGACCATTTCTCAATAGCATCACCTTCCGCGTGGAATAGCTCGTTTGCATGATTGACCGTGTCAGCGAAACGAGATGGCTAGATCCCCAAATCTTCCATGGCAAGATCGTCACAACGTCCACCTGCACCCACGCTTTCATTTGATCCCTCGATGCACTCCATTCCATTCCCAGTGATTTCTGTACCATTTGTTTTCGGAGTCGTACGCTCCCATTTCTGTTATCGGGCTCGTTTGATCAACTCCCCGTGTAGAGAATGGAACAGGCGACTTTCGCAGGACAGACCGATGGTCCTCGGACAAGGTGGGAACGAGAAACGAGGCACGTCTCTTTGCATTGCATGTGCATGTATATCTAATTTGGGTGCAGGCATAACTACTCTTAACGGTAGGGACGGAGTATCGCAAACAATACATTCGTTCATTCCACGCTACCCTTGTGCAATCGGATCAGGGACCACAATGCAGACTTGGCTGGAAATTGAACCAAGGGACTATGCAGATGGATCCGTAGTTACGAAAGTGTTCACCGGAAGAATACATATTCGCTGGGCCAAATTTGCGACTTTAGATTCCAAGGGGAGTGTGCAATGTGCATGACGTCTCGGGAAGTTATAAAAAAAATGCAGTTGAAATCCCAAGTAAATGCGCGTAAATCTCTAGCTGGGAGTCGAACCCCGTTTCACTGACGAATAGCCGATATACTAGAGACTTGTTATTCAAAGTCTACCCAAAACGAGGGTAAGTGCGAGCAAAGCGATTTGGCGGTAAAAGTGAGGAATGAACGGAAAGGTTGCCAAGGAAAATTTAATCAAGACGAGAGCCTTTTTTCACGGAGGTACTTTTCCAGTGCATACTTTCAAACTTGAACCCAATAATCTGAGTAAGGACCTCGGACTGATTACACGAGCGCTTGAGTACGTAGGAATGGTCTAATTCATGTAAATGACATGCCTGACAAACGAGAGGAGGAGAATGAGGATCGCCAAAGAATCAAATATCAAAAAAAAAAAAGGAAACTTCCCAGTCGATTCGAGAGCTTGGACCACCAGCGAAGAAGCCGGAATGTCAAGATGAATAGGAAGGGACGCATGGGAAAGTGTGGTGCCCATTTATGACTGGAGAAGAGTGGTATTGCGCAGTGTACGTAGATTTGTGATACCGCTGTCAGCTAGTATTAATGATACGCAGCGATGGAAGTGTTACGGGCCCCTGCGAGAGAAACACGATGGAGGTTATAAATCTACGGTCCGCCGGTATTTGCCTCGGAATGAGTTTCATGCTTGCCTAAACCAAGACTAAGTCTCTGGTAGTATATTGGCTAGTATGCACTCTGGTCATAATTATGATGGAACAAAGTTCTCTGCGTGTAAACTGGGTTCGACTCCCAGCCAGGGAATTTCAGAGGGTATTGGAAAATAATTTTTGGAGGCGCTTTGACAAGGGAATCGTGGGTTCTTGGAGCTCCATTGACTTGGTGACTTCTAAAGACAGTTCTAACTTCTGGACGCCGGCGATGGTAATATCTTCTCGAGATAGGACCAAAATAACTCATGAATTCGTCAAATGACAGGGGCCTAAAAATAACATTATAATCATTGATTCTTACAGCTCTGACGATCCTTTTTCGGTGTGCCGATATGGAAAGAATGTACCTCGCGGCTGTCCAAGGATGTGACTTCGAATTCAGATGTTATTTTCTCTTCCTATTTTGAAGTTATAGTTATATGAATGTTGGCTATGATGCCTCGCTCACTTCAACGACAGTGGCCAGTGGTTCGATCATCTCGATATATCTGGAAAAAGGCATCTCACTCCTTTTCCTGTCAGGCTGGAGTGAATATCATTTCACTCAGGTATACATACTACAACCTAAATGGTGCGCGACGATCAACACGCAGTCCGTATGAAAAGAGGGAAATACTTACCTGTTAGCGGAGCAAGCCGACACTAGTCGGTACGCGAACGTTCCACCGGACCTAACCCGTGCACGCAAAGTCATGTCTATACTCGAAGTTTCTACCTGACTCACTTAGCTATAATTTTGGGACATTCATAGAACTTACTAGAATACTTGTAGAGGTATAAAAGCCTCGTATTTGTACTGCTAGGTACAGATTTTCCAATCTTCTCTTCTTCTCATTCTATTGCTGCTCACATTACCATCATAACAGATACACAAACGATGGAGCTAAATCTCCATCCATCCCTTTGACTTCACGCCCCAATAATTTCCTCTTCCTCTCATTCATCCGCACAAAATATGCCAAGCATGATGCCGACCCGACAATCATCCCAACACTAAACGCAATCATCACCTTGGTCCCAAGCACGTACCTAGGCGCAGTGCTCAAGTCACCCATCAACCACGTCGACAATATTCCCCCAGCGCTTGCTACCATAAACCCGACAGCAATGGCAGTGGCACGACGAACGTGCGGAGTCGAATTGGTCGAGTTCCACGTCCCCAATGTCGGAGTGCAAGTGTACACTCCAGGTATGGACAGAAAGAGGCTCCCATACCGGGTGTTTGGGGACGACGAGGTGAGGAATATGATCAATCCTATCAAGGTGATGGTGGAAGTCATGATACAGACGAGGCCTCGAATGTTGAACTTGTCGCATAGGTAGGACGACGACATCGACAATGCAAAGGCAACAGCAAAAGGCGGCACACTCATGAGTTGCGAGCGAGCAGCAGTGTACCCCAAGCTCTGCACAATTGACGGTTCAAAACTACGAATAATAAAAGTCAGGACATTTGAGATCAGTGTGAGATGAGAAATTTAATGCGTACAAGGCCAAGGCAAAGAGAATGGAGCCCGAAAAGAATAATGTTATACTAATGATCCAAACGTGCGGCGTGACCAAAGCCTTTCTCACTTCTCTCCACTCAAACTTCTCTCCTCCAGAATCAGCAACGTGACTCGCCAGGTATTCACGTTCAGCTGGACGCAAAAACCGAGCAGCCATAGCATCACGAGGCATAATAAAGTAGCATATTAGGCCAAAAGCGACGCTAAATGCACCTTCGAGGAGGAATATCCATCGCCACCCTGAATGTCCACCTATGCCATCCATGTGTATGATACCATAGGCAAGGATTCCAGAGAACGCCCCCGAAAGTGAGCTAGTTGTGAAAATGGCTGATACACGGGTGGTCATCTTGGTACGAGGGTAGAAATGCGTCAAGTATAACACCACTCCGGGGAGGGCGCCGCCTTCAAAGACTCCGAGGAAGAACCGGCAGACAAGGAGGCCGCTGTAGCTCTTCACTACTCCTTGAAGGGTTGTGAACAAGCCCCAGCCGATAAGTAAAGTGGGAAGGAGATAATTCGGTCCAATGACCTGGATAGGCGGAAATAAGCTCGAGAAGGTGGAAGATGTTAATTGACATACTCGGAGTGACAGATTCCAAGGTAATTCAGCAGCAATGTTCGAAACATAGGTAACGATCAATGCAATGCTGTACTGCTTGTCCGTCATCTGTAGCTCACGTTGAAGCCCAGCAACACGAGCATTGCCAATGTTCGTTCTATCCTGCCGCGGATTTTGGTTATTCTGGAAGTCAAAAAGATAATGGACAACGTACTAGGAATGACAAGAAGTACCACATTGCCATGATCGGCAATAGAAATAAGTCCACCTTGAGCGAGACCCACCTCGCCGACGGCGCAGCAAGTTCGATACTGCGATGGCTCTTTTCGCTGTCGCTGCTGCTTGAATTGTGGCTATCCTGAAGAGAGTCCGTCATGATTGTTAGATAACGGACACGAACAATGGAATACATATACCTAGCGATCAGTCGAAGGTCATGAGATGCGAGGTCCCATCATCAGAAGGAGTGAGCAACGAATCAGTGATGTTCGAGTGGACCCTGCCATCGAGATTCGAGATGTAAAATATACTGTGTGTGCGTGTCTTCTCTCTCAAATCAGAACTGGAAGGATAACTGCTAGGTAGCAACTTTGGCTGTGGTATCCCAGTATGTGACGATGAGAATCGAAGTGGATGACAAGGGAGGTGGAGCAAACCTTAAAGCCTTCTCTTGTCATACGCAATACTGCCCCCTCCATTAGTACTGTATAATTACGACCAAGTGTTCAGTAACGTGTAACGGTGGCCCGTGAACTGAACACTTTTGGAAAATGTAACGGGTAACGTTACTAACGGAGTCTCTGATTTGCCAGTGCACGACGAATATGGGAATTTTTTGCCGCTGCGCGGCCAGTATCAACCTATGTATAGCAGCGGGACCCTGAATGAACACTTTGCGAACTGAACACTGAGTGTAACGCGTAACATGCCATGAACACTTGGTCGTAATTATACAGTACTACTGATGCCATATGGGTCAAGATGGGAAATTTTGAATTCAGAGGCAAGACTTTGCTGCGTTCAGAAGAGTGCCAGGTGCCTGTAGTCCTCAAAGGCTTCTGCAGCTTCAAAGACGCATCGCAGCCCGGGCTGAGCCCATCGTATTTCTGAGCGCCTTGTGTTTCGCACATTGAAGACAGTCTTTACGGCAGGGAGTCCGTGAGAAGAAAAATAAGGTCAGGCTGAACGGAGGAGCAGCCGAAACGTGAGCATTGCCAAAGAGCGTAACGAGCTTGTCTCGCGTCTCACAAGGAATGAAGAACGTGGACGAGGTGGTCCTATCAGTAATAGTGATTTAGAAGAGACGGTATTCTTTCGCACAACCAAGAAGGGGGGGCTACAGCCTATGAATTTCCGCTGGGGATAAAAGGAATACAAATACAATGGTATCCCGAACTGGTGATGGTGGGCTGATAAAGTTCAAGACAGCATGGCACGTTCAAAGTTTCGTTCGTAAGAAGCGGGTGTCGGACCGTCCGACTGGACTAGAAAACTGGAAATCCCGCGGAAAATGAACAAAAATTTCCGCGAGAGGGTCACTGAAGTACCATTTCCCTCAGTTTCTTGCAGAGATATCTACAAATTCACTTCGGAATGAGCTTATATCTGACTGACTGTATGCAAAATCAACGGCTCACTATTTAATCGATTGAAGAAAACGAAAGTGACAAGTGTCACTATCAAAGTGCCACGAAGACTCAATAGTAGGGTCCGAGTCCATGAAGCCACGACCGTCTTGTTCAGTTCTTCAGAAAGAGACACTGTCAAGCAGCCAGACAAGCATTGCGAATCGATAAGGCTTGTAACGGGATATACGTAACACAGATCATTAGGTGCATTTGGAGCTAAAAGAGCGAGTTATCAGGACAGTAGCTACGGAGCGAAGATGAGGATAAGCAACAGTCGCGTCGGCACAGAAGATAAGTTCTGCTGTCTTCGTAGATTGCTTCAAGTATCATTAACATGGCGGTGATGTGCACCGGAGCGACTACCGGTCCGTTCAACGTTGAGAAGAACCGGAATAAGCGGTCCGCATGCCGAATGACAAATCCCGCGGCGTTCACCCACAACCACACTCACGCTGCTTTTTACATGCAGGAATCTGCCCGTCCTCGAAGAAGATGCTAGCGCTAACTCGTCGCTTATTTTATGCCATGAGATCCTGGAGAGCCATTAAGAATTCCTTACCTTGAGACTCCAGGAATCAGAATGCGATAGTGTGATGGTGCGCGCCTTGCTCTCTGGTCTCTTTCTTTTTTTTTTTTTTTTTGATGAGCCACAGGCTAGCTCATGATTCTTATAACCCCTAACAATGGCTATGCTGGACGCCTTAGCCCAGTCTGACTGCATCATCAACGGCCTGAATCTCAACGTGGAATCCGTATTCGGAGACCTACGCTACGAGATCCTCTCACTTACTCTCTTTGTGATGAGACCTCCCAAGCCACGTCGTTTCGCTGGCGCTTTGCCCGATCCTTCAGTCCACTCTGCTCCTCGATGTCCATGATAACTGTTGCGAACACCTGAATCCTTATCCATCCTACGGGAAGTGTGATGACGGACCCACACATCGATTAGCCTTCGCATTGTTCACAAAGAACTCTACCACAAGATGCCCGTCAACCTCCACCATGACGATAGATATCCCGCCCCATCGCATTCGCGGTCCCGAGACGCAGCCATCCCCATGATGACTGCGGCGCGTCCACTCTTCCAGCCTTGCGCTGGGGCACTGGTAGCGGCATCCTGATAACACGATTCTTCATTGTTTATTGGAGGGGAAACAAGGAGGTACGTCAGCATGTAGCGCGCGTCTATATATGAGGGATGTCCAACTGATTCATCCATCCAGCTAAGTTGCACGTCCGAGTGAGGCTGTATCCATACGCGCCAACGCTAGAAAACATTCTCCAAGTTCGAGAAGCATTTTTCAAGGAGCAGGTCGATTCTCAAAATTTTGATGGCACGATCGTCACCACGTCGACCTGCACCAAGTCACAAACACCACTTCCCCGATGGGCT